AAAAATTACGATATTTGAAAGTTTAAGGACAAGTTACATTTTTAAAATTACAATTGATTAAGGAACATTATAATTGATCATGTTCATAAATTTATCTCAAATAATTATAACTTTACCTCTACACCTTAAAAAATAATAGCTTTCTCTACCCATGACATAACGTTCAATATGAACATATTACATTTAAATATTGAGTAATGCTACGCTAACAAAATTTTGGGACCAAATTTAGATTTTAAATGACATGACAGTTGATTATTTAAAGTTTTTATTGGGGCTCAAATGACATCATACTAATTAAAGAAGACCAAATCAACTGTGATGTCATTTGAACTCTAAATTTAGTTTTAAAATTTGATCAGTCTAACATTACTATTAAATATTTTAGGTTCAATTCATTCTGATATCTTATGAGAACCCATCACCTTCATCCTTTTAGAGGCATGATGTAGCCCAATTCAAATTGAGCAATGCTATAGGGATCTTATTTGAGGACCTAATTTAAGGACCTAATGACGTGACTTCAATGAAATCATTGGATTAGTTGTGAGTTCCAATGTTAAATGGAGCCCACAACTAATCAAATGGTTGTATTAAATTAGGTCTCTAGGTTAGGTCTCTAAATTAGGTCCAAATAGTATTTTTCATTCAAATTACAATGGTTAGTCACTGAACTCTAATGCTCTGTTTGGTAGAAATGATGAAAAGCATAAAAGATACATTTTCTATACTTTAAAGATGAAAAGTATAAATAATACGCTTTCATTCCTTTGTATTTGGTTGGATGGATAGGAAATAAAAATGACTAATTTTTTTAATATTTTTTTTGTTGGCTAAGATTATGGGTGATAATCAAGTCGTGTCATATCAGATTCGTGTTGAGTCATAAAATTCATGCCTTTTATATTTTTTGTTCGCATATTAGGTTATTTTTAAGTTCCTGTTATAAAATTCATATTGAGTTCAAGTCGTGTCATCATGTTGAGTTGAAAATTTTCACCTTTAGTTAAAAAGAAAAAAATACTTTTTTAATTTAAAATTTTATATATTTTTAAATTTTAAACTTATATATATATATATATATATATATATATATATATATATATATCTTTTTTTAAAAAAATTCTAAAATAATATATTTTATATAAT